TGCGCGCGCCCACCCCCTTCGCGTCCTGGGTTGCGGGTGGAGGGTGTGTGGGGAGCCGCAGTCCTGTTTTTTTTGCTAGGCCACTGGCCGAGCCCTCGCGGGGAGCGGAGCCCGCCTGGGGGACCCGGCCCGCCTGGAGCATCCCCTCCCAGGTCCTCGGAAGGCCCCTCCAGCCCCCGCATCGCCGAGTTTTTTAACCAGGTTCCCACTTCCTGCCGTGTCCACCCGGACGCCCCTTCTCTCTCTTCCTGCCGCTCCGCGAGCCTTTGTCTGCAGCGCTCTCGGCTCTGGGACATTTAATCCTCTTGTTCCTTGAGGATGTTTTCCAAGGAGGCCGAGCCGACTGCAGGCGGGTGTTCATGGAAAGCACCCAGAAATGCTGCATTTCTCGTAATTGTGGAGAGCAAATTAGGTGGCATTTTATCGTTACTTGCATCTTTGGACAGACAAGAAAGGGGTGTGCAGTATGTGTTTTTGAATGGTGCGGTTGATAAAAAAAGGGGGTGTGGTTGATAAGACGGGGGTACCGAGAACAGGGGGGTACCGAGAACACCGCTTCCCTAATCTGTTCTGGGGGACGCCGGCGTTGGGAGAGGTTATTGGAAAGTTTCCTGTTATTTTGGGAGGAAACCATTAGATTTGTAATCTTTTGGGTAGAGGGCATAACTTGTTTCTTTGCTGGAGTTCCTCTTTTCTTTAAAACGTGTACCCAAAGATCTCCCCACCTGCTGTAAACTTGTATACAACATCTTTGCACGCCTGGTTATGTTCACTGTGAAATCTATCTGAGCGTGTGAGCTGTTGGCAGCAGACACATTTTATCATTATTTCTGGGTGGCCCTATATTCCACATCCGTTGAGTAAACAGCATGTATTTGGTCAGTGACCCCTGGGTAATACAGCCACTTGAAGCCAGTGCAGAAAACAGTTGACAAAGGTAGTATCTGTATTGCGCCGTTTAGTCATGCCCAGAAACGATCAAATAATAATGCTTAGGTGTGAACGTGTTAGAAATGGTGAAGGAAGCTAGGTTATGACATGGAAAAGGATTAAGGGAAGGAAGCTTTTGCAGGTAAACTCGGGGATTACTGTCTGCCTGAGACTTGGGATAAAAAGATACCTGGGAAATTGTTGGGCAAGGGAGTTGGAAGTAGTTACTATTTTCCTAGCTTAAGGCATGCTCAGGTACCGTGGGAGCACAGAGATGGTGGTGTGGTTGAGTCATGTCTCTCAAATAGATATGTTCTGACTCCCCCAGGGCCTGTCAGTGTGACTTTTTCTGGAAATAGGGTCTTTGCAGATGTAATCAAGTTAAGTTAATATTGGATTCGATTGGGCCCTCACCCAAGGACTGTTGTTCTTATAAGAGAAATTTGGACGGGGAGACATATAGGGACACCATAGAAAGATGCCATATGAAGATGAAGGCAGAAAGAAGAGCAAGGCAGCTGCAAGCCAAGGAGCACCAAAGATTGCCGGAAGCCACTGGAACGTGGACACCATGAAGGACACCGACGCCTTCCCGACACCGTGAAGCCTCCAGAACTGGAGAAAATGGATTTCTGTTGTCCTAAGCCACTCGGCTGGTACATTGTTAATAGCAGCCCTAGTAACTAGTATACAGATGGGATCGCTTGACCCTGCTTTGGGGACAAGGAGGATCCTTTCTACAGAAGAGGCAATCCTTGAATGGAAGCTAAAAGGATCAGTAAGGCTTCTCCTGGCAAAGGCTGGGGTGAGGATAGAGTTTATTCCAAGTGGAGAGAACAGCATGTGGCACGGAGCAGAGGGCATGAAAGAGCACACCTGTTCTCTCCACCAGGAGCTTCGTCTGTGTTATTAAGACTGGATCTCAGTGGGAGAGTGGTGAGGCAGTCAGGGATCAGACCACGTTGATCCTCAAGTGCCAGAACAACTTGTCGGCTATGAAAGCAACTGCGAAGAGGCGACACCAGCTTTGTATATTTGAGAGAACACTGCTGTGAAGAGGGTGGATTGGAAGAGATGATTAGAGGCAGGCACGGGATGATAAGGGCCTGCGCTAAGGCAGTAGCAGAGGGTTCAAGAGAAGCAGGCTGCTATAAAGCGGGCGGCTTAAACAGAAATTTATTTTATTAATTCTGGAGTTTGGGAAGTCCAAGGTCAAGATGCCAGCAGTTTGCTATGAGGGCCTGCTTCCTGGTTTATAGACAGCCATGCTCTTGCTGATTCCTCACATGGTGGAAGGGGTAAGGGAGCTCTCTGGGGTCTCTTCTGAGGGCACTAATCCCATTGATGAGGGCTCTGCCCTTGTGGGCTGATCTCCTCCCAAAGGCCTCGCCTCCCAGTACCATCACACTAGGCCTTAGGATTTAACATGAGTTTTGAGGGTTGAGGTGGGGGTGGCATACAAGCTTTCAGTCTATAGCAGTGAGGTCTGGGAGATTGAGACACCTTGATTTGCTGTTTTTCTAGAGGACATAGTGCAATGGTGGTGTTGGTGTCTCAAGATAGAACCTTCAAAGGGAAGAAATGTGTGTGTGGGAGGAGGGAGTGGGGATGCTTCAGTTTTTCACATCTTGAATTTGAGGTCCTTGTTGGCTACTCAGAGGGAGAAGACAAGGTTGGAGTGGGAGGTGCAGCATTTATGTGGCCAGACCCTTGCAGTGCCAGGGAGCTTTGGGTTGAACGCATCATCTCAACAAGAGCATGGAGTGAAAAAAGATGAAGTTGGAATCCTGGTCAGCTCCAACTTTAAGAGGCAGAGAGGATACAATTTCTGAAAAAGAAAAAAAAAAAGGACTAAAAAGAATCAACCAGAGATATACAGTTGTGTATACAGTTGTGAACTGGTGTCACAGTCCCTCAAGGTTCACAACTGTATACACAACTGAAAGAAGAGGTCTGCGGTCCCTAGCTTTGAAAGCTGTCCTGGAGGAGGGAGCAGTACAGATAGATGGTCAGGCACAGCGAGGGGACAAAGCCAACTAGGAAGAGATTCTCCTTAATGAAATAATACATAAAAACTTACTTTTGTATATTTTTCTTTAAAAAATGACACCTACTAAATGGAAAAATATACAAATTAAAATTATTCTTTCCTTGTCCTCTAATACCTACATACTTCTAGGTGTTTCTTAAAAGCACTTTGGCATCTTCCTATAAAACATTCCCTCCAAATTTCTTAATGTAGCAGTAAGCAATGAGAATGTTGGTTAGTTTAATCAGTGACTAATTTTGAGTGTTAGGTATTTTTTTCAGAAGGATATTTGGATAATATAGTGTCCTATGCTTCTGATTTATACCATTATCAAAGAACATTGCTAAAATGAGTAGATACCTACATCAATCAACATTTATTTATTGAATCCCTCCTTTTGCCAACCACTTTACATAGATTATCTCATTTAATTACTATAAGCTCCCTAATAAAGTGGTACCATTATTACTACTTTACAGGTGAGAAATCAGATTTAGAGAAGTTTAGCTTCTACACAAGGTCACACAACCAGTTGGTGGCAGAGAAGATTTGAACAAATGTTGGTGACACAGAGCTCAAGATTTTTTAACACATTAGCAGCATAAGGACTGATGTGTTCCTCTCCCCTCAGAGATTAGTGTCCCATAGATGCCAGGAATAAATATTTTATTTAGTAGTTGAGAATAATTTTCTATGAAGGCAGTCTCCAAATACTTAAAATACGAAGGTTTGGGGAGGCAGAAATGATCAAAGTGTATATATTTCAAAGAAGCAGTTTTGCATATAACTTAAGGAAAGAGGTTTTCAACATTTAGAAACTGTCAGAATGAAATGACCTGCCTCAGGTGGTAGTGAGTTTCCATTCACTGGAGTTGTACAGACTGGCTGGCGGCCCTCTTCTGACAAATATAGAGGGAATTAATACAGTAGATAGAGGATGGGTACTGGAAATTCTTGAGACCTTTCTCCATCTAATGATTTAAAAGTGGTGGGCATAGGCAATGATAGGCTAGTCAAATGTAACATCAACTAATGAAATAAGTAAATTGCTACGTTTGCTTAAATTGTGGACTTAATTTTTTTAATTAAAATTTTTTATTGAGATATATTCACATACCACAAAATTAACCCTTTTAAAATGTTAAATTCTGTGTGTGTTTTTAATATATTCACAACCATCACTACTATCTAATTCCAAAACATTTCATCACCCCCAAGAGAAATTCTATACCCAATATAGTCACTTCTTATTCCTCCCCTCCTACCCTAGCCCCTGGCAACCACTGATCTAGAACCTATAACTCTTGGCTTTATCTTTCACAGCTCTTGTGTTATTATCCTTCAGTGGGGCTATTGGACTGACTTTTCTTATGCTGGGATGTGCCTTAGAGGATTATGGGTAAGTTATTTTTTTAAAAAACTATTCTTTTTGTGTCTTTGTCACTATTTTGTGTGTATGTGTCATGAGTGTTAGGGAGTTTGGTCAATTTAACACCAGACTCCAACCAATGAGTTAGTGAAGCCCAAATTATGAATCCAATCCCTTCATGGGTCAGTTGTACTTGCACAGAGAAAAGCTTTTTTTAAAATCGATATATTCATTTAATAAGCACTTACTGACTACCTTCTCTGGATCAGCTGGGAATGCAAGAATGAAGAGACAGTGCCCTAGCTGGTTTGGCTCAGTAGATAGAGTGTCGGCCTGCGGACTGAAGGATCCCGGGTTCAATCCCGGTCAAGGGCACATGGCCAGGTTGCGAGCTCAATCCCCAGTATGTGCAGGAGGCAGCCGATCAATGATGTTTCTCTCTCATCACTGATGTTTCTATCTCTCCCTCTCCCTTCCTCTCCGAAATCAATAAAAGTATATTAAAAAATAAAATAAAAAAGAATGAGGAGACATAGTCCTGTCCTCAAGGAGCTTACATTGAGTGAGAGACAGGTAAACTATCCAGTTAGTAAGAAAGCTGTAGTGGAGATATGGGAAAAGTACAGTGAGAGCTTTGAGAAAGTGCATCAGAGTATCAAGAGTTTCCCCGGGACAGTTGGGGAGGGCTGCACAGAAGTTGTCTTTTAGCTGAGACTGGTGGATAAATGAGAGTTTATCAGGTGGAGTCGGGAGGGAACATTCAACTAATTGCTTTATTCACAAGTGTTGGTTGAGTGCTTGCTGTTTTCCAGCTGCTGTTATGGGAACTGGGGATTAAGAAATAAGAAAACAAGAGTCCTGCTCTGTTGGAGTCTGTATTTCAGAGGGGGAGACAGACGATAAACAGATTTTAAAATGTGCATGCTGCCATGCTGGTGTGGGTCAGTTGGTTGAGCATTGTCCCATGCACCGAGAGGTTGCTGATTTGATTTCTGGTCAGGCACATGCCTGGGTTGTGGGCTCAATCCCCAGTAGGAGGGTGAAGGAGGCAGCCAATTGATGATTCTCTCTCATCAATGCTTCTCTCTCTCTCTAAAAATCAATAAAAATATTTAAAATAAAATATACATGCTATCAGAGGTAGAAGTGTTATGAAGAATAATGGGTAAAGGGCACAGGGGATGGTGGTTATTGTATTGAAATGGTGGACCATTGGGGATAGAGCAATATAACCATGAGATGTGAATTGAGACCAAATTTTTCCAGAAGTGAAGATCAGGTAAATGGAAGTTAGTCAGGTCTTATGGGCCTTCATTACAAAAAATACTCTGGATCATTTCTATCCTGTGAACTATCATGATCCAGGTTTTGCCGTCTGTTTAATTTTTCTGTATTTTTCATTTAGTATAACATGTATCTACACTAATAAAAGAGAAACATGGTAATTAGCGTACGACCGCTACCCTTCCCATTGGCTAATCAGCATATCCTTATGCAAATTAACTGTCAGCCAAGATGGCGGCCGGCAGCCAGGCAGCTGGAAGCGAACATGAGGCTTGCT